CTAGCAGGGCTTAGTCATGAACTCAGCCAACCGCAGTGACCTCTGGTGGCATTGGGTTTGGGTAGGAGAGAAAGTGTTTTACAACTTGCCTGTTTGAGTGCTGTGTGGTGTAGAGGGAAGAACGGGACCCTTTTTGTCTCTGCTCTGGTCTCTCCTATGTCCCATGTGAGATTTGTTCCTCACTGCTGCTCTCAGGCTGAGCCATATTCTGCTGCTCTTGGGTGAGCTTGTCAGCTCTGGAGCTCCTGGCGAGCTCTGCTCACACAGAAAACAGCCTCCTCCTCTATCAGATCTCTTTAAGTAGGCCCTAATGAATTTCTTTAACTCCTTCTTTAATTTTTAGGTGACTAGGTTAGCACACTCCTGCTACTAAGCCTGAAGTGCAAGGTGTACGTTTTTGGCTTGTAGTGTCTAGGCAGCAGGCTGGGTTAAGACCCCCAAAATCATCCTTCAGCATTGCAGACCTTTTAGCTATTGCTCATCCACTACATCTTCCTTCCTGCTTCCCTGACTAGTGCCGAGTTACCCTTGCACAGCCTTTGCTTTTCTTTGCAATAGCAAAAGAAATAAGTGAGGCTTAAAGGATTTCTTTGGTCCCCTCTCTGTCTGTCTCTTGTTCCAACTTGGAACATGTGCAAAAACAGCCTTTCCCAAAGCCTTCCTTTTTATAAGTTTTCACTGACACTTCTTGCCCCAGCGAGGCTTTCCAGCTTTCATCCTGTCCTTGCCTAGAGCTGTCCCTTATCTGAAAATGCTTCCAAAGAACAGGAAGCCCTTCCTGAGAAATAAATATGCCCCATCTTAAAATTTGCATTTTTCACTAAGCCTTTGAGCTTTTTATCTCTCTTCCTAAAACTGGCAGCAGCGTGTTGTAGGTTTGTGTGTGGCCTTTGCAGTGGTACCTGTGGTGGGCTTTGTTATAACTTTGGTTTCTGGTCTGTTTATCCAGTGAATAATCAGAATAGGAAGTGTTGAGCTTTTGGTAAGTAAATATCCTATGGATAAGTATTGTAAGTGTTAGGTCAATGTGTTCTAGCTCAGTGGCTGAGATGCACTGATATATCCCTGCCTATCTCTTTGAATTTTGTCAATATTCATCTGGTTGGGTTGTCCCCTCCTGCATCTTTGATGTTTCAGTTTTCTTTAGAAACAATAGCTCCAATACCATTTTTGTTTGTTCAAGCAGATGCTTGTTGTAACTTTTTTTTATTGATATCAGATCTTGTCTGCAAGCGCGTAGCTATAGGCAGACAGCTGTCTCCTGTTTGAGTATGCAAGGCTTTATACTTTCATGCATGTTGGGGGGTGACAACTTCAAAACAGAGCAATAAATTAGCTCATTTTTGGGGGTGAGAGGGAACAGGAGGAAAAAATGGTTGTGTACAACTTCCTACCTGCTTCAGAACTGGGTCTTCACAAGTCTGCCTTGTCAAAAAAAAATTGCAATTTTTCCATGTTATCCTTAGTGCCTTCTGGTGTAAAACAGATTATCTAATGTGCTCAAAACAAGCTGGATTCTTCTTTTATCCTGAATGCTCTGGGGAAAAAGTCATGCAGGAAGTAAAAATGCACAGATAATATTTATCGTAGGAGGCAGCTGCTGTTTGCCTAGCCAGTAATTTAATGAGTTGCATATGATGATTCATTTTTAAAATTGTTTCCTATGTTCCTGAATGTGGTATTGGAAAACCTAAGACACTGATCGCCCTGCATTCATCAGTGTTTGTATTGTTCGAGCTTCCAACAACTGAACTTTCAAAAATGTATCTAATGCTTTTCACTGAAATAGCTGTCCTCAAATGTATTTCTTAAGGTTTTTTTAGGTGAGAACGTTG